ATTTAATAAATGTTTTGTTTTGATATATAAGTTGTCGGGTTTTTTCATTTAAAAAAAGCGACATCAATTTTTTGACGACCTAATACTTTTACTAATGTATGTGATACTATCAATTTTAGGAGTGTTTGATGAATTTAAACTGAGAGAGTTAAAGAAAAGATTTACAGAAATGCGTTTTTCTCCTGTTTCTAACCAAGATTTATGTATCAGTATATTCGTATACATATTTTTTCTCCGAAGATAAGATGTATGAGAACTCCAAGTGATAGTGTCAATAATCTAAATATTGAGTATTTATTTACAATAAAGAAAACCAAATAAAATATTTAGCAACGAAAATATATATAGCAAAACAATTAAATTAAAAACGTTAAACCAACATCAAAAAATCATTATAAAAACTTGATACTTTTAGAAAGTTTAGTTTTCGTTAGCTGATTTACTTTTGATAGTCTTTTATTGCATAAATGATAAATGAACTTAGATAAAGTGTTGTTCAATGAATAACAATAAAAAATGCAACTGTAAGTTGTTATGGGAGTAAAACGAAAACAATGAAGTTCACCAAATAACCGTTCTTAGAGAATTGTTTTTGTTTGTTTTGAAATTAAGCTACACAATGGGCTATCTGTACTCTGCCCACCACGGGTATCGAAACCCGGATTCTAGCGTTGTAAATCCGCAGAAATATCGCTGTGCCACTGGGGGCAATTGTTAAAGAAAATTGGAATGTTGTAACTATACTCTTCTCCAGTTTATAATAATACAAACTATCATTTTGTTACATAACAGTTGTTAAATATCGTTAACAGATCGCTATACTTATATGCCTGACATCCTTAAAGTAAAGCATTTTTGGAAAGACACTTACAAGTTTTGGCTTCAGGAAGGTGAACAAATGTCGTTAGCATCGAAAATATTTGAACCAATCGTCCATTAAGGATGGTCATCGTTATTGTCGCTACTGAGAAAGTTTTCAGGGAACAAATTTATGCACCACCTGAAATATATTCTTTTTTAGATTTAGTTTACTTAGAAAAAAGTGTCAAGTAATACATATATGTTTTAATTATCTGAAACCTCACTTGTGGTGAAATAAAATCTATCATCTTCTGGATGAAGAACAACTTCAGGTTAAAGTTTCTGCTAGCTACATAACCATTCAGCCTCTATCGTTTCACAGCGACCGGTTTTCCGCGTGTCGTTCTCATTTGTTGCCTGATTGGCCCACAGCCAAAGCCAATATATAAATTGCGCCCTCTACAGAAAAACGGAAGTCACAGAATTTTTATAATTATGTGTGAGAGAGGCAGATTTTTTCATATCGTCATAAATATATAAGCCCACTTATTCAGAGTCATATTAACCATAAAACTATAACGACATTGTTTCTCCAAATGCTCTTATAAAGTAATACATCATACTATCATTAGTCAGCAAAATCAGAGTGACAGCCTTTTAGCTGTTTTGGAGAGTGTCGTAACACGAGCAATCAGTTACTCCATTAAATTCCTCACATAACCACGGTTCTTAAATGTTTTTTCATTTTGGTCTCATCGATCAATACTTATAAATAACTGAATCTAGGCTATTTATTTCTCTTGTTTAGATTAAAAAAAAAACACACGAAATATTTGTTTTTCAAATTTTCGTTTAATAATAAGAAGAACATAGAGAGCTTAAGGATGTTTGTTAAATAAATACTCACTTACTTTGAACTGTTTTAGGTAAGTTAAAATACACTGTCAAATTTCGTCACAGGTGTTACATATCACACCTTATTACCTAATTCTCTGAAACTTCAGTAAAGACTCAATTATTTTCCATAATTATAACTATAAGTGAGTACACTCTCTTTAAAAAATAAGATGTAATCGAAATAATACGCGATTGATTTGATTACTATTAAGATTTAAGTACGTTATGTGATGGTGTCATTTTCTTGGCAAAAACATACACAGTAGGATACCTGCGGGGAATGGAAACGTGTTATAAGTTCGTGCACTTATTGTTGATCCACAGGGGACTTGCATCACTTCTGTTATGGTGTTTAAAATACGGAATTTTTGTTCTGATTAGAATGTTAAAGAACAGCAGGAGGTTTTCTCATTCACATTGCAGCATAACTACAACCGTTAATAACATATCGTTAAAAGCTAGATGACTGATCGAAACCAGGTTTTTAGTGTTATAAGTTTTCAGACTTATCGCTGAGCCACTGAGGATCTAAATAGGTAAGTAGAATATGGTTGAAGACACGGCTTGATATAAACAACAAACTAAACGGAACGAGTTAACGAATAAGAAAAAAATTAAACTCGAAAAACGGTATTAAGCAAAACAAATATCTTTATGAAAAAATATTAATTAGGTATAATGTAAAAATGGAAAATATTAATCAAGTATAATGTAAAAGGGGGAAATGTTAATCAGGTATAATGTGAAAAGGGAAAATGTTAATCAGGTATAATGTAAAAAAGGGAAAATATTAATCAGGTATAATGTAAAAAAGGGAAAAATATTAATCAGGTATAATGTAAAAATGGAAAATAATAATCAGGTATAATGTAAAAAGGGAAAATAATAATCAGGTATAATGTGAAAAGGGAAAATATTAATCACGTATAATGTAAAAATGGAAAATATTAATCAGGTATAATGTAAAAAGGGAAAATGTTAATCAGGAATAATGTAAAAAGGAAAAATATTAATCAGGTATAATGTAAAAAGGAGAAGGAATCGGCAAAATATTTAAACGAATGATAATTGTTTGTACATTAAAGTGGTTATTACTGTATGATTGAAAAATCAAATGTTTTCTTTATATTACTGTAGAGGGAGAAAATGTGAGTCAAAGTATATTGAAGACAGAGATAATATCATGAAGAGTTATTGAAGTGTGTACCTGGTGTTTTCGTAGTGTTATCACTTCTTAGATCGGAAAGGTTTTAAACTGTTTCCTGTTTGACGGATATATACCACATCAATTTGTTTTAGAGATAAAACAGTAAATCAGGTTTTTCTAGGTGCACTCGAATGAATATTGTATTTGGAATTATACTTAACTTTGGTTTCTGGGTGGTACTTTGGACCAAAATATTCTTTTATATTTTTATTATATCCGTATAAAACGAGTGGAGGTTCTTTAACAATTTTAAAAGTTGTGGGGTCGTCATTTAAGATATTGGAGTTTTGTTTTATGATCTGGAAAACTTTAGTGGTATTAAGACGGTACATAAAGACAATTGGTATTTGATGGTTTACGGACTTAGACTTTATGGTACGTAAAGACAAGCGATATTAGATGATTTATAGACTTAGATTTTATAGTACGTAAAGACAATTAACATTTGATGGTTTACAGACTTAGGTTTTATGGTACGTAAAGACAAGCGATATTAGATTATTTATAGACTTAGATTTCATGGTACTTAAAAACAAGCGATATTTGATGGTTTGCAGACTTAGATTTTGGCTGTTGTTGTTTTTCACGGATTACCAAACTTACGTATTGGAGTTTCTCTATTAAAACCTTAGGGTAGGAGACATTAATAAAGAAACATTAACTTTTTATAAAGCGCAATTGCTTTACAATAAGTGGTTTAGCGTTAAACGACACCCCCACTTTAGTGGCAAGTTTCTGCCAAGAAAAAGGTGTTGATTGGGGTGTCAAAATGGGCCTTTGTTATGCTTCAATATGTTTTGACTATAAATAGTATTTTCTCCACTTATTTAGGAACACTTTCGGCTCTTTACAAACGCTATCTTGATGACATTCTTGGTGCGGGTAAGGCACATTAAGTGAATTGAAAACTTTTTGCAGTCATTTTCCTCTTACTCTCTCATACTTATCTTCACATGGACAGTTTCTTCAACGAGCTTACCTTTTGTAGACATTCAAATTTCCATTTAAGGCTCTCGTTTATCTACATCAGTCCATTACAAACCCATCGACTGTATTTATGCCTTCGCTACAACTCTTTCCATCCACGCCATACATTTCAGTAACTTCTATATTCTCAATTGATAAGACTGTGTATATTCTACAGCGAGTAAGGCGATTATGAGTCAACATGTGATGAAATGAACGATTTCCTCATTACTTGCTCCAATCCTGAATTTGTAATGAAGAAAGGTGGCCAAAGCGCCAACTCTTTAACATAAGAATACACCCTAACCCTTAAAATAAGACTACAAACTCTGAAATATCGCTTGTTTTTACTTACCATCCAAAGTTCCCCAGGTCATCAACTTAAACATCCTAAATGATTACTCAACTACTTTCTTACACGCATGATAAAATGTCAAAACAATTTTGGTCCACAGTATCATCCAGAAACTAACCCCCACTTCGAACTCAGCTACATCTTGTTTTCACAAAAGGAAATTTGCTACCTGCCAATATGTTAACAAAACAGTCAATATATGGCCCCAAAGTAAATTCGAAGTGTAATAGTCATTCAGAGTGTTTCAGAAAACCTGTATATTGTGTAATCTGTAAAAAAGATCAAACAGATCGCCGCTTAAGAGATCATTTACATCAGCGGTTCCCAACTTTTTCCCCACCAAGGACCCCTTTTATTAATATTTTTTGAATGACTCCATCTACCCCACAAACTGTTTTTCTTACTAATAATTAACTTGTTTTCCATTTTTCACTATCAAATAAAAGACATAAAACTCTGTGTGTTTCCAATAAAGAACAGTAGAATTAAAAAACTTACTTGTTTAATGAGATGATATTATCTTCACAGACCCCCAAGGGTCCGGGGACCACAGGTTGGGAATCACTGGTTTACATGAACATCTCTCCTATATATATACAAAATAATGACACTACAAAACCTACAGGTAAACACTTCAGTAACTCTTCACACTGCATTTCCAACTTCTATATAATTGAATCCAAATTTGCCCCATCTACTATAACACAAAAAGAACATCTGGAAAAACGTTTAATTCTTAAATTAGGCACTGTTAAACATCTTGTTATGTACGAAAAATTGACTTTTTCCACTTCCTTTTGTCCATCTTTCCACATTTCCTTTTACCTAGTCAGTACTGTCTCATAACGATGGTTTGCTTAACAATTTTGTTTTCAAAAATCATGATGACGAGGAACTCACTTGAATATAGATATAGTAGAGACGGCTGATATGGGTATTAAAATTATTTATTTAGAACACAAAACAAGTAACAACGTTTCGAAACTCCTGAGGTCGTCATCAGGTTAAGAATGCATGAAATACTGTTTTCAAATTCATCAATAAACTTATTTTAATTTTGACCTAGACAAGAGCTTCATGTTTCACATTGAACTTCCCGTGGTTTTAAATCCAGGACAAAAATTTAGCCTCTGCATGATTTACGGCCATTATTATACTGAATGCAAAGCTGAGCTGGTAATGTCTTAAATATTATTGTATTGCATGTTAATTGTTCTACTGTCGACAAATGACTTTATTTATGTATGTATGTATATATATATATATGATGAAACAAATAGCTTCAATACTATTATTTACATTAATCACATTAATTGTTAATAGGCGTATAAAATATACATTAAGAAACTTCTTAATGCTTATTATGTATATGTATATAATTGATAATAGATCATCAGACCTAAGCAACTATTCTAGCAAGACTGGGATGACACATAACCTTGACTTTCGTCTTAAAGGATACATTTGTTAATGAAACTGGAGGAAATGGTTAACGAAAACGTTTTAAATGAAGGCATTGAAACTGATGTACTTAACAAGTTTTGCAAATGAACAATTAATACCTATGTGCTTTATTCATTTAAAACTCCTTGAAGTTACTCTAGAAATTCAAATAAAATTATAGGCTACTTAGTCTTATTCGTTGGAGAGAAAAAATCTAAACAGTATCATAAAAGAAGTTTTATAAAATTACAAAGTGAAATATGATACCAGAGAAAGCCAAC